GAATGTATGTGGCACTTTCGACACTTATCATCTAATACAGTGGGGTCTTTAATGATATGTTTCCTGTAATTTCGAGTATTTATAACTTGGTCTTGAATTGCGATAATAAAACCTTCAGTTTCGGGGAATAAAGAACCTATTTTTAACCATTGATTTGACGCAGCTTTATCAATCAAGGGTTGTTCCAGGTCATGATAGTGTCGGCCGTGCAGTACTTTTTGTTTCCATGCTTCTTTTAAAATTTGCTCTGGGTTTGTAACTAAATTATGGGGTCTTTGTAAAGTAGTTTGATGTAAGTTTAGTGGTGTATAATTGAGGTTATTACATTGGATAGCTTTGTGTATGTCACTCGTATGAGATTTTTGATAAAAGAAATTTTGCAATCCGTGTACTTGTTTTTGCCATAGGTTTTGTATATTTATAAGTCCTCTGCCTCCGTTGTATCTCTTTATTGTTAACCTTTCTATAGCCGACTTTGGGTGGTGGTAGTTGTGTTTTGTTAATATTGATCGTGTGGTTCTCTCTATAGAATAAATATTGGTTTTGCTCCATTTTACTATACCAAATGAGTAGGTAAGTACTGGTATGGCGTAAGTATTCACAGCTTTTATTAGGTGTTTTCCAGACAGTTTAGTTTTGCAGATGTTAGTTAATCTTCTTTTATATTCATTAATGAGGTTTTCTTTTATTGTTCTGTGATCTAAGCCTTTGAGCTGGTGAAATCCCAGATACTTATAAACGTCATTCGGTTCCATGGCTGTTATTATCTGATTTTCATTGTCATCTATTGCGTAATCTCCTGTATGTATCTTACCCTTTATTATACGGAGGGTTCTACATTTGTCTAATCCAAATTTCATATTGATATCTCGGCTAAATTCAGCAGTAACATTTATTAGTTTGTCCATTTCTTTGTAGGTTTTTGTATATAGTTTAATGTCGTCCATGTATATTAAGTGAGTTATTGATGTATCGGTGTTACCATGTTTAAGGTGAAATCCTGTGCCCTGAATGTTTAGGATATGAGACAGAGGGTTAAGACCAAGACAAAACCATAAAGGGCTCAAAGAGTCACCTTGATAGATGCCTTTTTTTATCGATATTTCTGTGGTAATTATAGTGTTAGGATGACTATTAAGATAAAGGGTAGTTTTCCAACGTGGCATTATGGATTTAAGGAATTCAATTAGACTGTTATTAATTTTATAAATTTTAAGTACTTCAATTAACCAGGAGTGAGGTATGCTATCGAACGCCTTTTGATAATCTATAAAAGTACAATGTAGATTTCGTTTCTTGGTAGCTGCATGTTTGTGAATAACTGAATCAATTATCAGTTGCTCTTTGCACCCCATGTGGCCGCGCCGACATCCTTTCTGTTCTTCAGCAATTATGTTATGTGTCTCTGCGTGTGTTCTGATTTTGTAAGTGATTGCTGATGTAAGTATTTTGTAAATTGTAGGTAAGCATGTAATAGGTCTATATTAAGATGGTTGTAATGAATTTTGGCCTTTAGGAAGCATATGTGTTATTCCTTTAGTTATAAACTGGGGTAAATCTTGTTTTCGATATATAATTTCTGTTAAGTTTTTAGCTATACATTTATGTAAGATTTCTAATTTTTTGTACCAAAAGTTATGAATTTTATCTATACCAGGCGATTTCCAATTATGTAATTTATATGTTATGTTTCTTATATCTTCAGGTGTAATTTCCTCAAATTTCATTTCCTCTATTGTTTCCCATCGAGCTTTTTCTTCTAATATCCATTTCGCTTCTGTATTGTGAGTGACTTGAGTCTCCCAAATATTTGACCAAAAGGATTCTAACTCCTCTTTGTTCGGTGTATCATGGTGTTGTCTATCTATGTTGTCTGCTGTTGTGTTTCTTAAGCCTGCATTTAAATTTCTGTAAAACATTTTTTCGTTATTTATGAATAAATTATTGTCCTGCTTTCTCTGTAGTGATTTTTTATATCTTTTAAGTCTATTACATTTAAGGGCTAATTTTTGCTTTAGGGTATCAAGGAATTCTTCCGGTCTGCTATTGTTGCTTTCATGTCTTGTGTGTAAACTTGTGTTTTTAAATATTGCTGTAACTCTATACACTATCTTCTTAGATCTTCTGTTCATAAAAATGTATTGTGTTAGTTTACCTATATCTGAGCGCAACTTATTTATATCTCTTTGTAATCGAATGTGCCAGATTGGTGTAGTATCCTGTTTAAGTTTTGTGAGCCTATCATTATTATCATTATTAGTAATTTTGTATCCTAATTCTTGAGATATTACAAATGCAGTACAGTAAATAATTGTGTGAATATCAGTAATTTTTGAGGTCTCATGTATGTATTGACTCAAAATGTTGTTATTAAATATGTGTATTAGTTTTAAGAGTTGTCTGCTATATTTAAGCTTTGGGAGTTTAGGTCGCACTGTAGGGTCTATTCCAGCATATTGTAAGATAGCGGTTTGTAGTTTTTCCCTAAGTTGTGATTTCATTAAATCGTTATCTATCTCATCTACGACTGGTATTTCTATTTCATTTTCAATTATCATGGTGTTTGTTACTAGGGTATCTGTTTGAGTGGATATGTCTGACATAAGATTACAATTTCGGTACATTGATGTGCCTCTAATTAATGGATTTTGTGTCTGTAATTGCATGTCTGGTACCTCTATCATTAAGTTTGTCGATTGCGAATGCGTGTTATTTTTATATTGAGTGCTAGGATGGTGAGAGGAATTGTATGATTGTAGTTGTTTACATTTTGCCAACGTTGATATTGCAGTATATGAGTCTTTGTGTGTCTTTTCTTCTTCAATTAATATATTCCTTACTTCTTCTTGTAATCGACTCAGAATTTCGTTACTTAATAGCTTATTACGTACTATTACTCTTCTTTGATCAGATAATCTTTGTTCTGAGACATTTATTCCTGGGTACTGTTCCCTAAATTTTTGGTGAAGAAGGGTTCTATATGTGGTTAAATCTGTTTCTAACTTCGTGATATAGTAATATGTGCGCATAATAAATGTATTGACTTCAGATGGGCTGGGCTTTCATGCCTTTGTGGACGCAGGTAGAAAGGCCTGAGCAGCCTCCTGCGCAACATTAGAGGTAGGGATTACGGATTCTCTATTATCTTCAGTTACTGGTGTAAATGAGGGTGTGTTTGAATCAGTACTTGGGTTGCACGGTTGTAATGTAGGAGAAGATATGTTTTTGGTTAAGTTTAAGTGTATTTGTTTGGCTGTAGCATTTTCGGGTGACCCGGTGGGAGCCCGCCTACTCAACTCCTCACCGCCGACGGCTCGTCCACTGCAACACCCAGCGTCAGCTCCAGGTGTGCCCCGGCGATAACCCCCGGGTAGCGGCATTAAACGTTTACTTTTTAATCGTGTCTCCATGGTTTGAATGGGTTACCTTTGCCACGTTGGCCACTCCAGTAATAGAAATGTAGTGTTGCCTTCCCCCCACGTGTTCAGATGTTCAGAACAGGACGTGTGGTTGGATTTTAGGAGGTTTATTATTATTATTATTATTCTTGGGAAAAAAGATTTTCGAGTGGCAGCTTCGTACTGGTAAACGAATTGTGGGGTGACTACTAGATGGAGTGACGAACTTGTAAGAGATGCGGGAAGTCGATGGATGCAGGTGGCTCTAAATTAGAATACATTATTTTCAAACATAACAGTTTAACTTATCTATTGCAGAAGTTTTTTATGTTCTAACGGGATATCTCGGACCTTATACATAGCTGTGTCTCGCCAGCAACGCAAAGTCAGGAATTTTTATATAGAAAAATCCAACGTTGGGGCTTTCTAGGTGGTAATCAGATGTCACGTTTAAAAATTAGGTGCTCTAAAATGTTTAACACAACGAAATGTTGAAATTTTTGTTTCTGGCAAAACTTATCGCTAGCAACGCTGTGACGATAGCAGATATACGATAAATGTAAATAGCAATTCTTTTTCACTTATATATTATAGATAAAATAGGTCGAATCTGTACTAAAACCAAATCAGAACACCCCGACTCTACGTAGTTTTGTCTGCCCTACCCCTAAAATGTTTTTGTAAAGCCCCAGCCGCTACGGCTCGCACAAATGCCCGCGATTTGCTACGCAAGTGCGAAGGGGTTTCACTTTCCACAGCGCCGAAGCCGTTACAGAAGTAACTATGTTGGATTATACAATTAAATTACTGCAACTCACCAATAATTATAATCAATAATAATTAAAATTACATTATGCTGTGTTTGTTTTAAACTACGCTCCCATTGGTCGTTTTCATTTCTTGTAAAATAGCAGCTTAATTCTGCTGTGTTTCGAGTGGTAAATGTAGAGAACCGGATAGAATTTTTACTGGAAACGAGGCTTTCCATCTTAGTCCTCAGGAGTGACAACGCATCTGCATTTTGATTCTTAATTGAGAATAGATATAGATGTCTATGGACCACAGCATCCACTTATCATCAAGTGGAATGTGCGCTCGTTTGTTACCCTTATTCTATAAAAAATATCATAAAGAATGTAATACCTGTGCAGGCGGCCATTGAACTCTGCCGCTATTGATGAGACCAATAGGTACACAGGCGGCCATTCAACTTTGTTAGGTTGATTTTAGTCTCACGCTCATAGCTCAGCGCGTAATTTGTCAGCGCTGAGGCTCAGCGTGACTCGTTTTAGTATCTGACCGCCTTGCTGTACAGACGACGACCAAAATGCGGAGTGTATTAATTATTGCTGCTTTGTACTATCTATCCCAAAAAATAAAAACCGTGGACGACGAAGACTCCATGTTTATCCATTAATTGAGAAGAGAGCCGTTGCAGGAGACTTTGTCTTGCTATATGGCACTTTGAGGGCTGACGAAAGTAAATTCTATAATTACTTTCGAATGTCAAGTAGAACTTTTGACGAATTACTGGCAAAGATAAAGAATAAACTAGTCCATTGCAGCTTATGAATCGTGCCTATACCACCGATTGAACGACTAATGGTGACTTTAAGGTAAGAAAAAAACATATTTACTCGTTTTATCATTGTTTAATCATTGTAAAGTATAGATAAGAAAAGAACATATTTATTATTATAATGTTTCATATTATAGGTAGGACAAAAAAAAACAAATTATTTATTATTAGTAATTAAACATAATATAATCATTCCTCAGTACGTCTCGCTGTTTGATAAATCAGAGTAACCTGGATTAGCATCATTGGTTTCAAACCCTGAGTAAGCTGGAGTCTGATAATTGTATGATGATGCATACGTGTCGAGTGGATACCTTGCGTCATTGGAGTAAGAGCTATTTGAGCTATATGATCTGTTGCAATTTCGAATATCCGTGGCTTCGTGCAGCACTCTCGATAAAAACTCCAGCTTTTGTCCTACATCAAAATTTTTAAAAATTGGACTTAAAAAAGCGAAAAAAGCCAGGTCATCAGCGGCAAAATCTGGGGTTTGGTTATTAATATTTTTGTTATAGTATCGGGTGACAAACGAGCACACAGTCCACCTGATGGTAAGTGGTTACTGTGACCCATAGACATCTACATCTATCCTCAATAAAGACTCAAGATGCAGATGCGTTGTCACCCGTGAGGACTAAGATGGAATGCCTCTTTGCCAGTAAAAAGGGTCTCCGGTTCTCTATACTCACCATACGAAACACAGCAGCGTTAAGCTGCTATTTTACGCTGATTTTCTGTGCGAGCGTGGTCCTTCCCCGGTCGAGCCGACCCATTCGTGCTACAACCATAATATAGCTGCAGCATGGCTCTACCACGTAGGATTTAAAATTTAAATTAAAGTTAATAATTCTTTTTCAAATGGAGAACTTTCTGGATTTGTTTTCGGGGCCCTACTTTTTCTCTTTTCCAGCCAAGGTTTTTGTGATGATACTGAATCAAAACTACGGTCATTTTGCTCACCCTGTTGAGTGTTTGAAAAATCTTGCTGTGTTAATATATCAGAATCTTGTGTATTTTCTGAAGATACCATACTATCCAAAAAAATTATCTAAATTTACTGAGGGTGAGGGAATGAAAGGGGCATTCAGTGATTCATCAACTTTATTCTCAACTGTTGGAGCTAGGAAGCTTAATTCATCATAATAGATGTACTTTTTGTATTTTGGTGCAGCACTACCAAAACGCGTTTTTCTAATTGCGTTCTTTGTTCTAAAAAACGCATCCCGGGCTGTTTTTTACCTTTGTTTAACCAGTTTTCCTGAAATTATAAAATCTTTTTATTTTCAGATTTCTTGCTACGGGTCGAGCATATACAGATTTGCAGTACTCATTTAGGATGGGAATCGCAACAATCAGTAAGATCGTGGACGAAGTGTGTAAAGTGATATGGGAAACGCTACACGATGAATGCATACCATCAAATACATCTGATATGTGGCAAAATATTACTAACGTTTTTCTACAAAAGACCAACTTTCCAAATTGCATCGGAGCTATTGATGGCAAGCACATCCAAATCGTAAATCCAACCGGTGGTGGATCAATATTCTACAACTATAAAAAATTTTACTCCATGGTTCTGCTAGCTATGTGCGATGCAGATTATTGTTTTACATATGTAAACATTGGAACATATGGGAAAAACTCGGACTCGACTATATTCCAAAACAGTACAGTATACAGGAGCCTTGAACAAAACACTTTAAATATTCCAGGACCGAAGCCATTGCCCGGAACAAATACTCCAGTAGAACATGTAATTGGGGGTGATGGTGCTTTTGGAATATCAAATAAAATTCTGAAGCCATATGCACGATCCAATATGACCCACAAGAAAAAAATATTTAATCCTAGACTGAGTTGCAGTAGACAATACATAGAATCGTTATTTGGTATAATGTCAATCAAGTTCAGAGTGTTTCATACACCTATTAATGTGAGTTTTGATGTTACAAAGAATATAGTTAAAGCATGTTGCGTACTGCATAACTTTATAAGAATTCGCGATGGTTATCGTAATGAAGAAACACTTACAATTGAGGGTATGGTAGACTTGCCAACTGTACCTACAAACAGGTCTGGACACGCTCTGCGAGAACATTTTGCTGAGTACTTTGTGAGCCCTATTGGAAGCATACCCTGGCAAGATTCGTGTAGACTTTAACTTCAAAAGGTTTTGTCCTGTAGTGTAGGTATTCAGATAATAAAATAAGAAAGTAAACAAACCAAGTTGTTGTTTTTCTTCTCCTGAAATATTTTCGAACAATGTGTCCACGATATCCTCCCAGGAATTGTTTCTTGCATCTTTATTTTTGTAGAGTGGATCGAATGCATCCCACAATTTTTTCCTCAGGCGTACCTCATCGATAACTCGACCTGTATCCACTTCGCGATTCGCCACGACTGTACGCGCTGACGACGTCCGCTCCGCTCGACACTAGAACGCTCACTGAAAACAGAGGCGCTCGTGCGGACGTCAGTGCCGACAGCTATGCGCGGCCGACGCGTGATGCGTACGGCTGCGTAGCTATCAGCGCTGACCACTGTGCGCGCTGATAGCTACGGGTCTTTCAAAAACGCTTCCTAGAAGTTCATATATCTCGGCCATCAGCGCTGACAGTGCGCGTGCCGTCGGCGTAAGACTTAAACCAGCTAGCGCTGCAACCAATGGGAACGCATGCGCCCTAATGAGCGGGCGTTGCTAATCGGCGACGTAGGACATCACCCGATGTTGGACGTAATGGTGGCGTGATCTTAAGGCTCGTTTATAGTTACTAATTTACTCGCCACACTGTCAATATTTCTCTTTAAAAAAGTGAGGTTATGATATTACAAAAAAATATTACTCATAAGCTATACATTTACGCAAGGCTGGAAGGGTAAGGGGGATTCGCTTGTCAAACAAAGCCTTCCTGCTGGAATTTTTTATTCTAGACTACAGTAATTGTAGTTTGAAATTGGTGATGATGTTTTACTACATATGAAAAGGTTATCCAAGTATATAATCTTTTTACAGAATAAGAGTGACAAATGAGCACCCAGTCCACCTGATGGTAAGTGGATACTGTGGCCCATAGTTATAATATAGATGGAATGCCTAGTTTCCATTAAAAAGAGTCTTCGGTTCTTTAAATTTACCATATGGAACACAACAGAATTAAGCTGCTGTTTTACGCTGGTATTCCGTGAAAGCATGGTCATTCTGCGTCTAGCCGGCCGATTCGTGCATCAAATATAATATAGCTGCAGCATGGTTCTAACATGTTTGCTGTAAATATTTTGTTTTCTTTATAAATTTGAAGTGACGAACAACTTACAGTTCTAATGATAGTAAATGGCTGACTTAAAATAAATAAGGCCACAGATGCATTGTCACCTATGAGGACTAAGATGGAATGCTTAACAGCCTTTAATAAGACATACATATATTATACAGTCACGTTGTTACCCAGGAACGTAGGGAGAAACTACGAGCTTCCACTTGGCACGATCCTCACACACTTTATCGCTTCTTTCAAATACTTATAGCTACACATACATGTTCCTCGCTTAAGCCAATTAAGAAAAATACTACCTAAAATGGTAGAGATCCATTTTCTTAAGTGGCAGTAGCCTAATGACAGGGTGCGGACCGCGAGCTCATAAGGTCGTGGGTTCGAATTCGCCATTCAATTACTATCGTGAACCTACTATCGTAGCAGTAGCTTACCAGGAGTGGTTAAAGGGAATATTCGTAATGTTAACAGAATTGCTAGTAAAACAAAAAAATATAATTTATGATTATGTCCAGCTGTGAACAGTCACTGTTTGACGAATAAAAAGAAAAATTATTATAAATATATTCTAATTTTATAATTCTTATTTTTTTTATAGGATCGGGTGACAAACGAGCACACAGTCTACCTGATGGTAAGTGGTTACTGTGACCCATAGACATCTACATCTATCCTCAATAAAGACTCAAGATGCAGATGCGTTGTCACCCGTGAGGACTAAGATGGAATGCCTCTTTGCCAGTAAAAAGGGTCTCCGGTTCTCTACACTCACCATACGAAACACAGCAGCGTTAAGCTGCTATTTTACGCTGGTTTTCTGCGAGAGCGTGGTCCTTCCCCATTCGAGCCGACCCATTCGTGCTACAACCATAATATAGCTGCAGCATGGCTCTACCACGTAGAAAAATATTATTAAAACATTGTATATAATATCAAAGTAACTACAGACGCGTTTTTATTACTAAATGGATTTAATATGAAAGCAGATCACTTTGTTGACTCGACTATAAACTGGAACAAAGCTCGCTCGGGAGAGAGCATAAAACAGTCCATTGACTGGACCAACTCAATTTATATCATGACTTTTATCGTGATTTCAACAAATAGAAAGAAGAACGAGGGATAATCTATTTTTAATATAGTAATCTATCTAAAATATAACAAAAGGTTATTGTATAATTACACTACATATTTTTATTGAATTATGTTGGCAAACGACCACACATTTCACCTGATGATAAGTAGATCCTGTGGCCGACAGACACCTACAACTATCTTCAATTAATGATCAAAATACAAATGAGTTGTAAAGGTTTTTTTTTATATATTATTCTAAGCCAGGGCTTAATTATAATCCCACCTGATGGTAAGTGATGATGTAACCTAAGACGGTGAAGCAAACTGACTTAATAAAAGCCTATTAATATACATTCTGAAGTCAGAAGAAATAACGAATGTAGATGTTCCACCCCTAAAGGTTTGAAAACTGGTATTGAAGATTATGATGAAGCTACCTTTACGACATTTTAGTTACTTCCTTAGTCCACTAGAAAGGATTAAAAAATAAATTATGAGTGAAAACTGACTTCAAGGAGAAAAAAAAGACTATTTCATTACTCAATGAACTATATTTTAGCACCGAATTCAGAATATAAAATAATTTTATTAGCTGATTTTCGTTATTTAGCTATTTTCGTTTCTCGAATGACGAAGCGCTAGGTTTAATTTGCCCTGAATACGTAGCAATAAAGTCTGAACCCGGTACTTTATCTGCTAGCATTACGCCGCGATTTATAAAGCTATTAACAGAGAAAACAGGCCCAAACATTGCCAAACTGCCGAGTACTCGAAGACTGTCTGAAGACTAGCAAAAATTTTGTTCTACTACTTTGCATCACAGTTAGTATTACTTGAAATATGTTCAAACAGAACGTACACTCACTTTCTATGAGTACAATCTTTAAATAATCATCGTAACTTCAGAGTTGTGCTAGCTCAGGGGCTACGCGGTCGCTGTAAAATACACACATTATAGAATATTTATACACGAGTATTATATAGAAGCGACTTTTACAAGAATTAAAACATAGTATTTCGTTTCTTAAATTTGATGTAAACCATACTGAATGAGTCTCGATTGGCCACCATTTAGGAATATTTCGTGTTTACTTAACTGTGTTTAGTGATTTTTATAATGTAACAGTCAATATTGATTAATATTCCGTTTACTTAAATAACTTCGGGAGTATTTTCTTACACACGCGTACGCGATTAAGCCGGGTTTTATTCCCGCCTGCCCTAATTTCAGTGTTAATTGTAATTATAAGTGCTAATATACCACGTGATCTGTGGTGAAGGAAAACATCGTGAGGAAACTTGTATGTATGAGGAATAAAATATTTCGACGACAAGCGAAATCCCCCACGACGCACTAAAATAGAATCGAATTTCATTTTAAATTTAATATGGATTAAAAGTAATTTTTATTGGGTTATTTTTTTAATTTAACCGATGTTTTGGAGAAAACCTGTTTTGGGTCTTCCCAGCGAGAAATCCAACGGGACTTTTATTATATAATAAAAACACGGATTGTACAAATGATTTACAAAACTTATTTAAAAAAACAGCTAGGAAGCGACCACCTCATACCCGGGGGGTTATTATCAACCATTTATATTATATAAGACCCATCAAAATCCACTGCCGAGCATAGACGTAGTCCACAGATTGCATCGTAGGGGGATATTTACCATAGAAGCCTCGCTTGGGCAGGTTGGCAACCGCCATTTTTAATATAATAGAATGGCGCTCCCACGATACCTACGCGACGTTATGGGGTAGTGGATATTATTACACCACCACTACATGACAACAATATAATAAAGATGTTTAGGCCAAATCTTAACATTTAAAACTTGCATTCAAAACGCTCGTCTCGGTCGCCTGACGTGTGGGCGAGTAACCGGTTTTGATGGCTTGGGCCAGCTTGCCCGCGGCGGCCGTGTCGACCAGTCTGCAAATCACGCTCGAATCGTTAGGTCGCGTGAATACAGCCTCTTATTGCGTTGTCTTTTTCGTGCGTTTACGTGACAACGAGGCTCTTCTTGAGTTTGAGTGATTAACTTAACTTCGATTGCCATTAATTTGCGTCGACAAGTTGCTTGTATGGCATTTTAATATCGTACGAAGACATTTTCCTTTGTCAGTAGAACGCTAAAAATTTGTGACTCGAGAGGAGATCGCGTTCGTCTTCGATTATAATTTTGTGTTAAGTGACGTTAGAGTTTACATAAAGGTGAACGCCCTACCAAGTGATCGCACATCTTTGAGGGCAGCGCAGCGCATGTGGGTCTGCTGTCCGATTACATCGGTGACGTCAGGTTACATTTACACACTTTCGCACACCACTTACCCTACCATTACTTACCCCCTGTATGTACCTTGTGGTCGACCCTACCTCCGGAACTCGGTAAGTTTGTGTTCGCTTATCAGCCGTTACATAATAATTATCCATAGGTCATTTGGTCCCGAACCCTCTGGTTGCCCGTCGAGAGGGCTACTTATGGGCCCTAGTCCAGTCGACTTCTGTCGGAGCAACTGAGGGCCGTAACAATAGATGTTAATGTAATATAGAGTAAAAATAAAACAAATACTTTTAGTCATATAAGCCTATTTTTTTGCTATTTTTTAAATATCATTTGAACCATAGAATACAAGATATTATAAAAAAAAAACGAATTTTTCATCTTGACGCGCTTGTGCACAAAATTCCATGAGCCTTTCAGGGACTAACTTAGATATAGCACTCTAGAACAGCTAACAGCTATTGTTTGCGCAAAACGTTGATGTCGGAGTCGACATCAGATGTCACTCGGCTCGGCGCGATTCC